TTATTTAGAAACAAGATCTCTGCAGATGTAGTTAGTTAAGATGAGGTCACTGCGGAGTAGGTTGGGCCTCTAATCCAATATGACTGTGTCCTTATGAAAATGAGAAATTTGGACACACAGACTGATGCACACAGAGAGAATTCCATGTAAAGACTGGCATTGGGCTGCCGCACGCAAAGGAGGGGAAGCCTCCAGAAGCCAGGAGGAAAGCCTGGACCAGGTCCTTCCCAGAGCCCTCCGAGGAGGCAGCTCAGGCTTAGGCCTCCAGAAGGCTGGGATGATAAATTTCCATTGTTTCGGCCACTTGGTTTGTGGTACTTTTGTTACACCGGCCCTAGGAAACTAATACTAGGAGCTGGGAAGAAGAGAAGGAAGTATAGAAGAAGAGGGAGTTATGACAAAACAAACCAGTCAAGAAAAATCGTCACCCACACTAATTACTAGCTTTGTTCCTTAGGGAAAATGTCAGCTGAGGAAGACACAGGGATTTGGAAATAATGGAGGCCCTTGTATGAAAACAGTCACTGGCTCTATTAAATTCAGTTTTAAATGTTGAGTTGACCAAGTTACACACTACTTAAAGAAGAAACCTTAAAAGTCAGGCTGGGCGCAGTGGCTCACACCTATAATCCCAGCACTTTGGGAGGCATAGGTGGGCAGATTACAAGGTAAAGAGATCGAGACCAGCCTGCCTAACATGGTGAAACCCTGTCACTACTAAAAATGCAAAAATTAGCTGGGCATGCTAATGCGTGCCTGTAATTCCAGCTACTCAAGAGGCTGAGGCAGGAGATTCCCTTGAACTCAGGAGACGAAAGTTGCAGTGAGCTGAGATCGCGCCACTGCACTCCAGCCTGGTAACAGAGCAAGACTCCGTCTCAAAATAAATAAATAAATAAATAAATAAATAAATAAATAAATAAATAAAATTTAAAAAGGAGTCAGAAGTTATCCGGGCTCTTAAAAAAAAAAGGTACATTTCTAAGAGTGGAGTACAATCCGAAGAGATTTTGAGGAGGGTTTTAAAAATCACAACCTTAACAGACTTGTTATCGTAAAGTGTTTTTTCCCATGAGAAGTTTGCTTTCTTCCAATTCTTACAAACCAAACATTACCATATTGGGATAGTGATTAGGGAGCTCAAAACAAAATTAAGCAGGCTACTCTGATTTCATTGTCTCTCTTGATTATTTGCTTGTCATATTTCCAACAGCCCCAAATGGCAAGATTTAAATAAAAGATAGGCTATTTAACAACACTCTATCTTCTCTTTCTAAAGTAACTGAAACCCCCTCCATTTAGCATGTACTTAATTTTTCCTCTACCCAGGCCTGTTCTGGAGGATTTCAGAAGCAGAATTCAATAGTCCCACGCGGGGGAAATGCCAAACCCCTCTGGCTCCAGTCACGCTGGCCTATGTTCAGCTACTAGAATACCCCACTCAAGGTGTCTGTGCCTCACTTGAGGGCTTTTGCACATGCTAGTCCCTGTGTCCAAAGTGCTTTCTTCTGCCCAGACCTCTCTCTCTCTCTCTACTCACAACACAACGCAACCCCACACTCACAAACATATTCTGTTGCCACCTCTTTGTTTTTCCTTACACAGAACATTGCGTATTTCCTTCATCACCCTATCACAACTATAATTAATTCATTGTTTACTTGTGTATTACCTCTCTCTCTCTAATAAATGATAAGCTTCATGACATCAGAGATCAGATGGGTTCTGTAAATTATTTTATACCCAGGGCCTGACCCACAATGGGCACACAAATATTTGTCTAGCTTGATTAATTAATTAATTATGCAAATGAAGGCATGGCATGATCCACAGTGGCAGTCTACTACCCCTGCTCACCCTTACTCAAACACAGTGGGAAGCCTTTTCTGCCCAGAGGCTCTGAGTTCAGCTCTACAGCATTTGTCTATGCCTTTCATGCCCTTGGGAGAATGCTTAAGGATATCACTTGTCTGCCAATGTCTCTGGGAAGGGTTCAAACTCAAAAATCAACCCTCTGATCATGATCTGGCTTCACAAATAAGCCCTTCTTATAATAAAAGGATGCCCAATCACATGCACATCAACTTTTGTGGTCTGCAGGACAATTCTTTCTCATGGTAAATTAGTAACACAGCTCTGGGTATGTGAGGTATGATCCAGCGTCCCCTGTAAGTTGACTTCAGGGAGAAATGTAATGAAAACACCAGCACAATGTTTGATAACTGGTTGTCTCTTTAGACATTTGTAAACTGGCATTCTGATTTTTTTTGATCCTGCGCATTTTATATTTATAAAACAACTTTAAAATTCAGGGTTTATGAGTCACAAGTATTAAATAACAGAGGATATTTTGGCAATAATACATAAAACCTTTACATACTACTGAACCCAGAGATTCCAGTAATAGGAAGTTATCCTAAGTAATCATAAATAAATGTAAAATTTAGCTACAAGAATGTTCACTGCAGTACTATTTATGATAAAAACAGAAAATTTAAATATCCATATGGAGCTGATTGGAAAATTTGTGATAATCCCTATTAAGAAACATCCTGCAGCTTTTCAGAATGTCTGCTTAAATGGAATGATCATCGATGACACAGAAAAAGTTTCATCAAATTACAATAGCAAAAAATTGTGTTATAAATCAATATTCCAAAATATTTGAACTTTAGTTTTTTCTGGGTGATGGTGTCCTGTGTAATTTTTATCTTCTTATGGCTTTCTGTATAATTTTTCTCTAAGAGTTACATATCACTCACATAAATGTATTTTGAAAAAGTGTTTAAGAATAAATTTTAACTAATCACAAAATGCCAACTACTACATGTAATTTCACTTATATGAGGTACCTAAGGTAGTCAATTCACAGAGACAGAAAATGGAATGAGGGCTTGAGGGCTGTTGGGGGCTGTCAGGAGCTGGGGGGTGGGTAGGGAAAGGGGAGTTAGGGTTTGGTGGGCAGAGTTTCAATCTGCAAGATGAAAAGAGTTCTGGAGATGGATGGTGATGATGGTAGCACAACAAGTACTTAATGCCACTAAGTTACACGCTTAAAAATGGTTATAGTAGATTTTATGTTACATATACTTTACAATTTTTTTAAATTAAAAAATAAATCAGCAAATCTTGAGTACAGCCAAGTCTCTGTTATTAGGATTTTCAAGAGGCAGGAGTAAAGAAACCCGGATTTGACTTAGAATACATAGCACTGAGCCACACCATCCACGTGCCCCCCCAGCACTGGAGTGTGCCCTGGGATGAGTGGGCATCTGCCTGCTTCCTGACCATTGGTGCTTGCCACATTTCCTGGTCCACTGAGAGCAGAGACGCTCTTGAGTCTCTTTCGTGGCATGGAGTTTTCTTCCTCTCTTACCAATGTCCCTCAGTTTCACTCTCAGATGAAGAAACTGACTCAATTGCCCCAGAAGCATGGCTTCCTCCCAAGGCTGGCCACAGTGACTGCAGGGGGTGGTGGGCCCAGGAAAGATTCAGACTATATCTTCCATGAGCCACAGGTTCAGAAATTTGCCCCCAAAGTCCTTCAGCTGGTAGTTGGCAGAACCAGACAAGGAAAAGAATCTCACCTTAAAGTCAAGAAAAGTCACCTCTCTACTAGAAAGAGGAAAGGGCTGGGCATGGTGGCACATGCCTGTAATCCCAGCACTTTTGGAGGCTGAGGCTGATACATTACCTGAGGTCAGGAGTTCAAGACCAGCCTGACTAACATGGTGAAACCCCTATCTCTACTAAATACAAAAAATTAGCCAGGAGTGGTGGCATATGCCTGTAGTCCCAGCTACTCAGGAGGCTGAGGCAGGAGAATTGCTTGAACCCAGGAGGCAGAGGTTGAAGTGAGCCAAGATCGCACCATTGCACTCCAGCCTGGGCAACAAGAGCAAAACTCCATCTCAAAAAAACAAAAAAGAATAAAGAGGGAAGAACTAGGTTCAGCAAATAAAAGTCCTTTCTTTGTTCATCAAGAGGCCACCCAGGACTTTGTCACTGAGAAAGGAGTGATGCTCGGGTGGTGGTGGTGGGATCTGAGAACCCCAAAGTTGCAGACCTGTACCCGAGGGCTGGACTTGGCCTTCAGATGTTTTGTTTTGGCTTACACAATATTGAACTGCGTGGTGTTTGCAGAATTTCTAAATTACTTGGCAACATTTAAAAATCAGAGTATTTCAACCTAAAAAGAGATTTCTTTGGATTCTCTTGAGGGAAGGGGTGGGAGAGGAAGCTCTTAGACACACAGGGTTTATACTCCTATGTGACAACAACTGGCTGGAAGTGAGCGGCTTCTTTAGATGGACCCTCACTCCTGTCCAGTTCAGCAATTTACCTGCCTGGCCCTGCTGCTCCTTAAGCTGTAGCCCCTCAACTGTACTGGGAATGGCCTATGAGGCCACTGTGGTACCTGGCATGATGCTGGCTGGGCTCCCTGTAAGCACTTGGAAATGCTCAGCCACAATGGGGAAAGCGTGTGATGCGACAGCTCTGGTCAGTGGGCCTTAACAACAGTCCTGCGACAAGACTCATGGCTGGGCCTGAGGTTTAGTCTTTACCCCAACCCAGTCAGAGTGCAGCACTCTGTCCCCCCCGCCAACCATGCTTCCATATACTATCAAAATACAATATTCTGCAAATTCTCCTTACTGAAAATGTCAAAAGGAAGCCATGCTCTGGAAAACAGATCAATGGTCATGATGCCTCATGTCCTGTCTCTAACAGAAGTCAACACTAGATGCTTTGGAGAAAGGAGTAGGAGCTGCATGAAGCACTGCATGGGGCAGTAGGTCCTCTTCTGATGAAGAAGAGAGGGAGCAGAAGAGAGGGAAGTTCTTAGCTATTAATGCTTCCCCACTGTAATCTCAGTGGTGGAGGCTGCTGGAGGCTGGTTTAAATATCTAAAAAGATAGTATCTGTATGGGGGAAAGGAAGCTTTCCAGGTCCTTCAGGGTTAATAAGGCCAGGGGAAGATGGAAACCAGAGATTCTTACCTGCTGTAGGCATGCTAATGTTATACTGAGGTAAAATAAATAGAAAGGCAGTCTTGGCTGTGACCTGTAAAACAAACAAACAAACAAAAAGAGTTCCAGTTTAGCTTTTGGCCACATCAAAAGGAACAGGTGGAAGCTGCTAACCTCCCCTTTTACATCTTAGGGCCACGAACCTCTCAGATGAAGGGCTCTGCCTAATGCAGAGTTACCACTGGTTTTGTTCTATTTTTCTTTAATGACATACCTCTCAATACCTGTACCCCGAGCCCCAGATGGTATCTAGACTGGTACTCACTGCAGAGGAGATGAAACAAGCTGTGCATGGCAGGATGGGAGCTCACAAGTGAACAGTACAAATCTGTCAGCCATTCATTCGTTCATTCATTCATTCAGGTACTTGTCAATTTAGTTCAGTGCAGTCAACAGTGTGAAAGACAGAAACTAATAAATGAGGTCACAACCTTCAAGAAGGTTAGGGCCTAGCTGAGGTTTCCCCAGCACTTTGGCTGCCTATGCATTGGAGACTAGCTCTGAAAATTGACACCTGAGCTTCAGAAACAGAGAATTCCAGCTGCTAATTTCACATCTACCTTACTGAGAGGCGTGGGGCCAGATGTAACATCTCACACTGCTGGTTTGTTTATTTCAAAAGCTGCCTTTAAAAGTTGTGCTGTGAAAAATACTGTGGTTGTCACCTAGTTATGCATGGCCAAATCAATACTGTGACAGTTTAGCCAGCAGGGGAGAGATCACAAAACCTGGGGGTTTGAAGCTCAGACTCAAGAATCGACTATCTGCGTTCAAATGCCAGCTCTGCCATTTTCTTGCTATGTAACTACCAGCAAGTAATCTTATGCCATGAGCCTCAGTCAGGGGTGTTTGTAATACCTCAGCTGGTCTGGGTACTACAGACTGGCGTGGCTCTGTGGCCCAGCTGTAAGTGTTGTTCAAAGCTCCCCAGAGGTTTCAGATGTACAACTAGGCCTGAGAACCACCAACCACACTGTTCTGAAACCTGCATCGAGGCCAGGTGAGAAGGAAACCTGGGACCAGGCCTTTCCCAAGGGCCCTCTGGAGACACCTGTCAATAAAGGGGTGCTGGTTCTTCTCTAACAAAGGTTTGAAGGGTGCATATGTGAGGGACAGGGTGGGGACAAATGCACTGGGCAGTGGCAAAGGCAGCATGGAAATAAGTGAATGATGCATCACAGACACCCTGTGTTACCCAGACATGCCAGCGAGGGGTCACTATCCTCAGCTACTTTTAGAGACAACCCTCTCCTTTAAAGAGCAAATTTCCCCCTCTCCCAGTCAGCAAGACCCATCCCACTCAGTGGGTATCATTTACTCTGTACACAGAGACGCAGGACAGGCCTTCTTGTGTCTTTGTGCTATTGCCTTAGACATGTCCTATCAAGCCTGCAGGGAAAAAAACCCAGATGAGATTAGCTAAGGGAAGGAGTGACAGAAAACACCAAGCCCTATCCAAATGTACAGGTCTTCCTCATCCCACCCTAAAACCTTATTACCTTTGGTCAAGGCCTTTTTCAGTGTTCTCGACCTATCTTCCAGTCTGACTGCCTGTCCTTTCTTTAAAACAGATGTGCTGGGTTTCAGCCAATACATCCTACTTACTACTTCCTTTGGGGAGTTTAGCCCCTCTCATTTTGTGTCTTACCTTTCCTATACCCACCACTACACACACACAGTTCTCATTAGAATCTCACGCGTCCTTCATGACCCACCCCAACTGTAACCTCTGTGAAGCCATCTCCAGCTGTTCACGGGGCATGATCCCTGCTTGCTGGATGCAATCTGTGTCACACTCTGCTGTTTTTATCATTTCCATACCCTTGTTCATAGTTCTCATCAGGCTCTCACCTCCTTGAAGGCAGGGACTGTGCTGTCCATTTATTCTCACAGGTCCTCTCATGTAACAAGCCCAGATGCACACAGCAAGTGTTCAGTAATGGCTTGTTGTTTACAATGAAAAATCAAAAGTCAAGTCAGCTTCACTCAGCTGTCCTTATCCCACCACTGTCGTGGGAGCTGCCCCCAATGTCATCATCCAGGCTGATCTCTGTCCCCAGTGGCCTTCTCTGTGAGACCTGTCCAGGCACTAAGCCACCTGAATCCAGCTCCACCACAGAGCCCCTCCTGACCACACCAGCCATGGTGGCTCTCCCTCACTGAACTCCGTTCATATGGGTCATTCCTGGCCCAACCACATAGCACTCCGTATTGTCTGACACAACTCCTCTGAAGATAAACCTCATCTTCTCAGCCTGAAATCCCTGTGAAGGAAGATCAGAGGAGCTGGATAAAATGAGAGAAAGGAGAAGCCAGGAGAAAGGCAGGTAGGCATTAACCAAACACTCTACCCTGCCTAGGCACAAATCTCCCACTTGATTTCATTCAGGAAATGCACATGTCTTTTAGACCATGAGGTGGAGCGGACCTCTGTGGGGCTTGGGCTGTCTGCCATCCATTCTCCTCTCTTAATGGCACCAGGGTTTCCTGAGGGAAACCTCTCCCTAGCTGTGTGTGGGCATAGGGTATGTGTGGGATCACTATTGAGGGTGGGAGGATGGAGGGGATAGACCCTCTCCTCAGGGCAGGAGCCCGGCCAATCCAAGAACCCCTGGGCTCTGGATCTTGGGCTGGTCTCAGGAAGTGCTGCTGGCCCCCAGAGAGCCTCCTTCAGTTGGCCAGGGTCCATTTCTAAGACACATTATCATTCAATATGAAGAGCACTGGTGTTCAACCCCAGCTGCACATTAGACTTTCTGGGGGAGCTTTTAAAATCTCTCTGCCTGTGCCACACCCCAGCCAATTAAACCAGACTCTCTGGGGCATGGGCATTTTGTCAAACTCCCCAGAGCATTCCAATGCACTGCCAAGTCTGAGAACTTTTGCATTTTTTTAAGAGGAAGATAGACATTTGGTATGTGGGTTCTACATATATTCTTGCCTTCACCCAACATGTACTGTCAACTGTCATCATTCACACAAGTTATGTTCTTTCAAGTCACTGCAAACACTGAAGTGAATACTGAAATATTGCTCCTGGGAGAAATATAGGGTTAGGTTCCTACAAGCCTCTGGTCCCATTTTTGTCAACAGATCAATTCATAACTTTGTTTTACGTGTGTTTCTATATGAAGACACCTTATTTAACATATACTGTTGATTCATTAACATTGAATTCATGGCCAACAGTGCTGTAACGCATGCCTGAATAAAACTTTTCTAACCACATATGCTATCTCCATGAGGCACATCACAGCCATCCTACGCTGAGGACGCTAGACAGCACTTCTGCACGACAGTCAGGGGCCATTTTTAAACAGTGAAATCACCAAGACGCAGCGCAAAAATGCAAAACATGTGGCACTAAAGAGACTACAAACAGGACATCTGTCTGCAGGGATGAGAGCTGGAACGGGACGGCACAGTGTTGCCTTGTTTGGCCTCCACTGGGAACGTGAGAGTTGGGCAACTGAAAAGTGTTTGCAGCGCTGCACGTGTCTGTGAATCACCATGGAAGCTGAGCATTGATTTGGGGGATACAAATAAATCTTATCAAGTAACCGAATTTGCAAAAACAGAATCCACCAATAATAAGGATCAAACTCATCAGGGCAAACCTGAACGTCAGTGCTATAAGGGGCAAGATTTTTTTTTCTTTTTTAACAGCTATATTCAGGTGTAATTTATACAACAGAAGAAATTCGTCCATTTTATGTATACAGCTCTAAAGTATTTATTTTTAAACTGTCTCTTCCTTGGGGAAACACAAGCTGTAGGAGCGCGGGGATCTGACCTGCCTTTGAGGTGCACACCCACGGATGGCTTCAAACTCCCCAGAACACGGCAGCACTCAGCAAATGCCAAAATGGACACAGCAACTAAGCAGGAGTGAGCCAGTGCTGTGCTCAGCTATCTGATCCTTATCCTATCATCTGTTCACGATTATTCTTCTACATATGTCCTCTCTCTTCCTCAGTCTGTCCCAGAGCTGGGTGAATAGTACATTTCTCATAAATTCCTATTTGACAAACTCATACTGTAAGCAGCTGTAATATTTAGTGACTGCAGATGAATGCTTAACATGTTTTCTTAACACGATTCTGAGAAAACAGGATCTAGGACCCTAATCATGACAAAAATACTAGATCCCAGTGTTTTTCCATCCCTAGCCTCCCTGGTAGTGGCAGCGGAAACCATTCTAAAAAGTGCATCTTTCTCTATAAACAGCCATGCTTGCTCCCACATTACCATATCTCAGCAAGATGGTGTCAGTTTCCCTGGTTTACAGATGAAAAAGCTGAATTTGAGGCACAAAGAGATAAAGTAGCCTCCTGAGACCTCACAACTATACAAGCAGAAAAGGCCACATTCAACTTGATTTTTAAAAAAACTTGTCCCAAAAACAAACTTAGGAGAGATACAATACTGCACATAGAAAGAATGGTAATGTAAAATGGAAGCAGGAAAGAACACAAAAAATACACATTTTAGGCAAAGAAAAGAAGGAATGAGGCTGGTCAACTCAAATGCATTCAAGGAAGTCCTCCTCTTTGGCTAAAGGTGGCCAGAAATTTGGCTCCAAGCTTTTCCTTAGCCACCTGAAGGAGGAAGGAATGATCAGCTCCTAGATTGACCACATCCACCCATTAAAAAAGCAAAAATCACTAGTCAAGAGCAGTCCTACTTCTTCAGCCTTCTGTGCCTTAAAAGGTCCTTTAGCACCCCAAATCTTCACACCATGACCCTCTCCCGACCTCAGACCAGGGATGAAACCACTAACAAGTCCCTCTCTGTAAGCACCAGCTGAGTTCCTGCAGCACACAGGGCTGAGAACCAGGAGCCTATTAAAAATGTCATTCCAATTATTTCTCATCCCTCTAAGGCTGTTTATAGGAAACATTATTGAGTTTAATAGCATTTTAAATGCTAAACTCAGTGGGTAAAAGGTTAAAAGTGACAACGTGCTAATACACTAAAGTAAAAGGAGAACACTAAATTCTGTAGGAAGAGTCACATCACATACACATATATAGA